ATGCTTAAAAAAAGCCCTCTTCATTTCCCAATTTAGATTAGCTAGTGTTTCTCTCCCTTTTGTGTGTGTGTGTCTATTTGCTCTTCTGGAGCAGAATTTAAGGGGAGGGGGAACACATATCAATTTTTCACTGTAAAATTGAGTCTTTCAAAAACATCTCTAAAAGCTTAGAGATATAGTCTTTAAGCTGCCTTTTTACGACTTTCAAAAAAATACCAGTTCAATTTTAACTTTGTACAAGGGAACCAACAAGGACTAGGGCATGAAATCAACTTTGAATTAAGGTTCTCTCTGTGCTTCCTCAAAGTCTTTCAACATTTCATCAAATCTTGGGATAAAGTACAGAGCTGTCTTCCTCCTAAATGAATTAATATATAACTTAAAATATCCTTGCTCAGTGCTTTTGTATTTCTACGTATATCAAGATTTAAATGTTCTAAGAAATAAGAATTCAAGGGATACAATCATTGCTATATGATGAGGGGGGAAAAAAAAACATCTCTCCTATAAAGAAGTCGATATTAAAACATCGTAATGTGATACAGATTAATTCCCAGATACATAAACTTTTAGAAATGTTATATCATATTTATTCAGTCTGTACTATTCATGACAGAAGATAACAGAATATGTGATGCATTTTTCCAAATTTAAAATAATTTAGAAGTATACTTTGTTATCTCAAACTTTGTCCCTTTTTTCTTGACAACCTGATTTCTTAGTGATATAGAACTATCTTCCTTGGCAGGTTAGAGTGTTTGGTCAAGTACCATATTCTACTCATTTTCCTAAAGTTCCTTCCCCTGCAGTGATTCTAAGACAAAAAAAAAAAAAAAAAAACAATAACCTGAGACTCTTGCCCTTAGTCCACAAACAAGTTTTATGTCTACTGGGTAGTATTTTTTAAGTTGCAAATTAGGAGAAAACCATTTTGGTAATTAATTTCAGAGAATAGTCACTTAACCTCAGTACTTACTATCAATATCCTTGCCTCTAGTACAACTTGGTGTGTTAGTCTCCAGTTGGATTACCATCACTAGGATATATCACACTGAACTCTCATCAGTATCACTTGAGGCACAACAAAAGAAACTCAATGTCATATCTCTCTAGGATGAATCAGGATGGTCTCCCTAAAAATAGAACCCAGAGGTGCATGAGCTTTCTGTATAAAAGCTCTGATCTTGGAAATATTTGAAACATTTTTCAGCATGGGGCCATGAAAAGAATGGATTTCTTTCTTTCCCATTCAATTACATATGATTAAGATCAGAAAGTAGAGAAATAAGTTCCTAATTTTGATGACAGTCATATCAGTACTCAACCTCAGGAGTGACATTTGGCTATTCTGATTAGAAATCTGTCTGAAAAGTCAATCGAGTGGGCAGTTAACTACAGAAAAACTGTTACTTGCTGTTAGTGAGATGGCTGGTGGACAAGGCAAGTAAAGCGAATGCTCTAGAATCCTTACATTAAATATCCAGATCCTTAAAGTAGGTTATTTAGCTTGAAAAATACTTATACAACCACTACCACTAACACCACCATAACACACACACAAAATGTTAGAAATCAATCTTTCAGTTAGGGCATATTTTTAACTATACAGAAGATCATTTTTCTGTGTATTCTCAACTTAGTCAAAACAGACTGTTTCTTCTTATAGAAGGAAATTGATGAGTTTCTTCTAATATTAACATTTCCATGGTGAAGATTTTGATAGACTAAACACAGAGAGAAAACTCAGAATTCTTCCCAAGAGTCAAGAATCATACTCTGCTCAATGAGGCCTATAAATGAAAAGCTGAATAGTTTCGATTTGGGCTCTTCATGCTAAATAAAGGCCTAACATTTCATGTGCTGTATGTTTCATCTACGGCGGAATGTGACCCCACAGATAACCTTTATTCCGATCCAACTGTTCATTGAGTACAGCACAGGATTATTTGCTAAAATGTTTCAGATTATCCCAAAATGTAGTCATAATTATTTTTAAAAAATCTTCAGACAAACTTACTTTCTTTTTTGACAAATATAAATTATTCTACACCAGAATCATACTACTGGAACTCTGTGTTTTCACTCTTCATCCTAACATATAAGGAGAAAGTATAGAATGATATTGAGAAAATTCATGGGCCTTACCTAATATAATCTTAGCATTTTTTTTTAAAGAAATGTCTTGCCCATGTAGTTTCTTTAAAGAAGTTACGGTGAAGTTTCAAGTAACAGAAAATTTGTTCAGATGACAAATGACATAATGAAACACTAAGAAAAATCAAATGGGAAATGTGGGTTTTTAAAAAATATTTTATTTTAATTTTCAAAGAGAAAAAACCTCATTCATATGTTAAAAAACAAAACAAAAACTTTGAATAAAAGCTTTCTTTCTAATGAAGACAAATCATTCACTATTCTGGCATTTTTACTATATATTTATAAAAATTAGACATTCTCTTTAAAATGCCAGTCAAAGTGCATTTAAATTTAAAAGATGTTTATTTTGATTTCTTCACAAAACTAGGCTATGGAGTAGTTTAGACTGCCACATAAACACAAAGTATTACCTAGTGGGCAGTTTATTAAAATTGCCACACATGATTTTATGGCTCTACTTGCTGAAGATAGGCAATGTTGATTTTTTTCCCCTCCTCTGTCCAAAAATCTGAGTGACTAATTTTGTCTTATTCAGGTAATGATAAACTAAAACAGTTCCTGATTATATTCTCATTTTTTCTTAAAAACAAAATTTTCATTATTTAAAATACCGCTCATTAATGAAAGAGATGTAATGCCAGAGATAAAATCAAACCATTTGTCATGCTAATATGCCAAAATTACATACTTTATCATATTCATATTAATAGCATTTCACCAAGAATTTTCTCCAAAGTCTTTTCAAAATTTTATAGTTTCATAAAAACAAATAAAGCAAGTACCAAACCTCAATAAGTTGCATATGAAAAAAAACCTCATCATGGATACTTACATCATAGTACTTTTTAATGAAACGTCTAATGTCCATGATCAATTTGTTGCTCAGCTGTACTGTAAAGGTCAGAGGTGAAGCCTTACAATTGACGTTACTGCAACGATACAAGCTGGGTTCCATGTCAGTCCCCTACAGAAGTCAGGACAGACAAGCACACAAAAGGTTATTGCGAGATTATAAAAGGGTTTTTGTGCTTAAAAACTGATGTGCTATCCTGGTGTAGTATATTTTTAATTAATTTTATTGGTGGGTTTTTAACCCTATTTTTCTCAACTACTTTCCTCCCCCAACCCCTTTAGTCACACATAACTTCCACTCTTTTGCCATCGTCATAATGGAGTACAAAGTCAAAGGGAATACCCTGAAATCACTGCTTTACATTCAATACATGACAGACTCTATGGATAAAATAATTTTCCCTCTGTAAATACAAGTGAAATCATGTTACTGGAAATAAACATCTTTCTTAGAGATATTGATCGAAATTTTAAATTTGCACTTATTCATTTCAAACTTGAAGATAAAGCAAGAGCTCTTATGACATTAGTTTGCTTTCATCTCATCAATTTAAGAATAAAGCCTAAAAATTAAAAGTGTTGCACCACAAAAGCAGTATCGCTTATTGACAGCTTAGCAAATATAAAATTTCTGCAATTTTTCCCAAAAAAATGAATTGTACAGGGGGAAGGGAGGCAGAAGAAGTAGAAATTTGAAAGACTTAATATTAGTAACTGGAGAAAACGTTTTGTTTTGTTTTGTTTTAAACAAAGACAAAGCAAATATAATATATAGGAAAACTGTTGGGGTTTCTGGAGCATTTGTTTTCCTTCTTGATACTTAAACATCTTGGTTTCCTGCTCCAATCTGGTACATAACCCTACCCGCCACGCTAAGCAATTCCAGGTGGAAGAGATTTTAGAGCTTGACATCGGCTCTTCCACAGTTAGCCCATCTGCAAGTCGTCAAGCCTCCATGCAATTAACTATCTTATTTACAGCTGTAATGAAGCAAAACTCAAGGATTTAGCAAGTATTGCTGATCTGTGTCTGCCTCTTCCTTGCACTTGCTTCCAAAGACTGCTTTGTTTTGATTCAAAAAAATGCAAAACATCTGCTGTTTGTCCAAATTAACTTAAAATAATTACTTTTAATTTAGATAAAGGATGTCTTTTCCTTCAGTTTCAAGGTTTTACACAGATCTGCTGCCTACTCGTTTGCCAATGGCTAGTACACGCATAACACTGCAGTGGAATCAAGTAAATTGGCTAAGTTTCAAATTCTGATCCAAGGTCAATGATACATTTTTTGGCAGTACTTCTTGAGAGGAATGTCTCTCTGTGACTTCTTAAATGTCTGATATGCAAAGACAGCAGAAAAGATAATAAGAGTACCTTTGTCAAAAAGGAGGTAAGTGGGATGTGTAAAGATAAACAAAAACTTTCCCAAAACACTTAGTTCCCATTAACTTGATTTAAGATAAAGGAAAATATTGCTCTAAGTCTTAATAAATGGGGGTTGGGAGTACGGAAATATAGGTTACTAATTAACGAATTACAATAAAAATACTTTAAGATAATTTAGAATTTTTAAGAGATTCCATTTAAAAACCAAGGTCAAGAACTGTAGGAAGCCAAAAACAATATTTAAGCACATTTAATTAAGAGTAAGCTGTGAAGGCAGAATTCATATGATGCTAAAATTCTTTAAAGACATGAAAGCAATGTGTGAGTGCATTTTTCCCCTTTCTTATATGCCCTATAGTAGGGGAGGAAGGCCTTTATACTAATTCACTCACAAAATGAAAGAAGGAAACAAAAAGAAACAACTAACCAAACCATCAAAGACATTATCATAAATATTCTCAGTTCCACATGTAGGGCATGGACATTTGAATCTTTCACAGTCCTTGTATCTCTCTTCATCAGTGAGCTGTGCTGGGCCACCAAGTGGAGCATCATTCTCTTCATCTTTATGATAATGATGAACTCTAAATTGGGCAGGGTCCAGTCCTATTAATGTAAAAGAAAAAACAAATTTAGAAAAGTATTTTTCCAAGAAATACCATATAGAAGAAACTGACACACGCATGCACAAAGATTTTAAATTCATGCACATACATATACAACCATTTGAACTCAAGATCACAGGTACAAATGACTTTGCTTTTTAAAAGAGATTACTTTATAAATAAAATAAGTAACTGCAACAATGCAACACAGAAATATGCCACTGGACATTTGGGCTTGGAAGTAACTACTTCTATCGGATGTTTTTATTATTTTCTTAAAGTTGCAGTGAAAAACCTCAAATAAATGTGTACTGTTATTAAGAAATGCTCTTATAATCAAAGCATCACCATTAAAACTGAGAATAAAATCAGAGAACAAAAATCCCATTAAAGAAAACAAGCTCACTGCCATTACAACTCCTTCAAGTGCAGATACAAATGCTAACCCTGATTTCAATGCAGTGGTCGATTTCATCTTGGCTCAATAGTTAACAGCATGTAGGTTGCAATCTAATTCAGTGGTTAAAATTCAGTAGCAGCATTTGAGACAAAAATGCAACATGTTTTTTTTTTTTTTTTTTTGGTGTTCAAAATTCAGAAATTTAAAATACGTGCAAAAACAATGAAGCTACAGGCCAAAACGTCCCCAACAATCCTGAAACCAAACATACCTTCCATATTTCAATCAAAACAATACAGGAAATCAATTGATGCATAGTTTATGCTATTTTGTTTCCACAAACTATTTAAAGGAAAGAAACATCTTTAGGTCAAGCAATTTAATTTACCCTTCGTCAAAACATATCTGTCAAAATTTACTATTTGAATTTATACTTAGGGATAATTACTCTATACTGTATCTTACAATATTTTCTTAAAAGCATCCCTTAGTGATCCCTAAAAGTCTAAGCCTTTGGGAATCTAAAGAAAACAATATTTTAGTACAAAGGTAAATAAGTAATATAAAACATCCACTGAGCAAAAAGTTCACAAACACCAAAAATATCTAAAAGTTGTTTTTAATCTATCAACAGCTGCATAGGTACATAGTCTGATAGATGCATTCAGAATTCAGTGACAAAATCCCAAATCTTATTTGGTCAGTTGTCAAGTCACATCTAGCAATTATAAAATACTTGAGGCAGACTCTTGCAAGGTGGAAAGGTGCCAAACAAAGAATAAGAATGAAATAGTCTCAATTTTCTCACCTGCAAAATGGAGGTGGCATCACTGATCATAACAGTTATGAAGTTTAAGTTGGAGAATATAGGACAAACTGAATTTAGTGGTGCCTACTGTGTGATAAGCATTCAATAAATGTCATTTGAATGAAAAAATAAAACAGTGAATGTATATCACTTAATCCAGACTATATATGTAGTCAGTCAAGATTATACATTAAGAAAAATATGAGAACATGCTCATGCTGCATATGAAGCTAATAGCTACTCTTTGTAAGAATTATTTCCTAAAGTTACAGTATATAGTAAAAACAAAGACACATTCAGAACAATTGCAAAAACTATTCTTCGTTAGTGATATAAATTAGTGTAACACAGGTGACATGGATCCAAGATTCATTATACATTTTTCTTTCACAAGTTACCCAACCTCTAAGAGAAAGAGGAAATTAGTAAATTTTGTGGGAATATATACCCTCACATTTAAAGATAAGGAAGGGCTAAGGAAGTGAGTGAGAGAGACCATGGCCGTGAATGAGGCCATTTCTTCTCTGTAGTGAAGGGTAACTGTTGCTAATTCATTAAACTCAGTTGTGAATCCAACTGTATTCAGATAATGTCTTGCTTTATTTGCAATTATGAGAAAGCAGCTTCACCTTTTCTCTGACTGTATGATTATTAACCAATAATCATACTAACCAAAAAGTTAGGAAAAATAAGCAAAATTTTCCCTCAAGCTTCTTTCACAATCCAAAAATCAAGGAATAAAACAATGCTGGTGTACATATACAAAATTGGCTGGGCTGTAAAAAGGAACCAAGAGGGGCTGTTCTCTACCCCTCCCCACCAGCCACGGCTCACTTGGAGAACTGGAGTGCATGAAATTGCATGCCCTGGCCCAGGTCAGCCTGCCTCCTGAGTAAGCCAAAAGTGGACATGGACTATTTTGCTACTCATGGAGCAATGCCCAACTGGCCAAAACCTGTGAAAAAATATCAGGCCTTATGAAATATCTACTCTAAATGTCCATTTCCACCAACTCTTATCTTCCCATGGCAGTAACAAAGCCAACTGGCCCAGCTAATTACTTCAGATTTATTCCCAAGCTGAATTTTTTCCAGGGGAAGGGGCTTCAATCTCAGTACTTTCTTGGTAATAGTTCAATGCTAAATTTTAAAAATATAAAGGGAGAAGACACTATAATGACCTTAAAATATTAGGTATATAATGATCCTTGTACGAGTTACTTGAATAAAAAAAATCATCTAAAAAAGTGATTTTCTTGGGAGAGCAATTATGAGTTCAATAGGCAAGTCACAGAAGGCTAAAGTGTTTTAAGAAAACACATAATGCCATGTTTAAAAAATAAGGACCACTGCTGCTGCTATCTTTTTTGAAAAGGTGAAAATCCAGGCTTAAACATGCCCCAAACTATTAAACATACTTTTAATTTTTCCAAATCCTCACGAAATTGGTAATAGCAGTTTATTTCGAAGTTTCGATAGACTTAAAAGTTTTACTGCTTATACCATAACTCAGTAAAGCTTAAGTGAGTCAGGAAACAAGTATCTGGTGCTGCCACCTAGAGGTAGAGACTTTGAATTTTAAAATTTGCAAAACAGCTGCTACATATAACTCCATTTGTAATTATTGTCACTCCAAAATTCAACACTTCTGTCAGAAATGACATTAAAGAAAAATCTTTATTATCGCATTTTCCCTACATGCATATACATCATATAATTAATATTAAACTGCTCACTGTGCAGCGAGCAACCATTCTAGTCTTTGAGTAAAGGACGCAAAGCTGAATTCCAAATTCCTTACTTACCTCTTCTACAGAGACCTTTCTCTGAACAACTGACTTAAAGAAACAAACTTTATGCCCGATTTGCAAAAAAAAAACTTCCATTTCTACTAGGCTAGCTTTTGACAGGTGACTGGAATATTTTGGTTGGGCACAGAATAAAGGAAGGAACAGCCTGCTTGGGCATTGCAAAACCAGTTATCTGGGGGAACAGCAGCCACGGCTTCCCCAACAATAAGCAGAGATGATGTATGTTTCAATTCAATCCTGTGACTTGTAGTGATCGAGTCACTTGTGCTGTGGTGGGGGAGACAGAAGAGGCAGTGGAATGAAATTTAAATACTGTCATTTATAATTAGAAAATTTCTAGGATCTCACATTATTTTGGCAACAGGATCAAAACTCTCATGTTTCAAGAAGTTATTTATAGAAAGTAACATCACAGGCATTGGGGTGGATGAATTTAGCAGCACTGTTTTTACTTAAGATCACCAGTCTTATCATACACACTCCCAATGTGACATTTCACACAAAATTATTTTTTCTACCATCGCACTTTCTAACCATCGTAAATTATACCTGTTTTTAGAATGATCACCTGCCCCCATTCCCAATGAGTATTTAAATTGTTCATAACTCAAAACATACAGTTATTTGAGAGGCTGATGCATTTAATCAAACATTTCTTCCTCCAAAGACAAAGTTTCTATTAGGGCAACTGCAAATAATTACAGTAAAGCCAATTATATATGTTCATGCAAGCAGGGAAGAGGAAAAATCCACATAAATGACACTCTAAATGAGTAAACGGATTAACTGGTATTCCCAAGCAGTTGTTCGTAATATGAATCATTTACTAGGGAAGCTAATTAATGGAATCCTATTGTGTGAAACTTTTTGGTAAACATTTCTTTTAGGAAGTAAATCATTTATCTTTTGCACAAATCCTGGCTTTCAGATGTCTGGATTTCTTAGAGGATAATATATAAACCGAAAATTTAGTATGATTGAAGAAAAAATATTTAATGATTTTTAAAGGGTGAATGCTATATCTACAAGAATGCTCATAGCAGCTTTATTCATAATAGCCAAAAAATGGAAACAATCCAGATATCCAATAACAGAAGAATGGATAAACTAGTATAATCTACCACGGAATACTACTCAGCGACGCAAAGGAATAAATACTGATACATGCAACAAGATAGATGAATCTCAAAAATACGCTAAGTGAAAGAAGTTGCACACAAAAAGCGTATACTATAGGAAACCATTTATATGAAATTCTAGAATAGGTAAAACTAACTCATGGTGAGAGAAATCAGACGAGCAGTTGCTTTTGTGAGAGGGGTATTGACTGGGAAGGGGCACAAAGGAATGTTCTGGGGTGATAAAAATGTTCTGTGTCTTGATAAACTGACTGTATGATACTCAAGATTTCAGCATTTCATGGTAAATTATATAAATTATCTTGAAAAGAAAGCATGCCAAATAGGAGATATTTATACAGCTTGAAAATCCCTAATCCAAAAATCAGAAACGCTCCAAAATTGGAAACTTTTGAGTGCCCACATACTGCCACGAGCAGAAAATTCCACACCTGACCTCGTGTGATGCGTCACAGTCAAAACTTTATTTCATGCACAAAATTTAAAATATTGCATAAAATTATCTTCAGACTATGCGTATGAGGTATATATAAAACAAAATTGGCTTTTGTGTTTAGACTTGGGTCCTATTCCCAAGATATCTAATTATCTATATGTAAATATTATAAAATCTGAAAAATTCTGAAACACTTCTGGTTCTAAGCAATTGGATAAGGGACATTCAACCTGTAATATATATTTCCAAAAGACTCATATTTAAAATATATAATAAATGCCTATTAATCAGTAAGAAAAAGACAAGCCAACAGAAAAGTAGAAAAAGACTTGGACGGGCACCTCACAAAAGGAGTGGCCAAGAAGCATGTGAAAAGGTGTTCGACTTTATTAGTCATCAAAGAAATGC